TATCCCCTTCCTAACTCCCTACCTACACTCACCTTTACTGGCTCCATTCCCGCCTCTTCGACCTGTTTGTTTCCTCTCCACCTATCCTCTCCTCTATCCCTCTTCTATCCGCCTCCCACTCTCTCCCTATTTATTTCAAAACCCCCTTCCCCTCCCCCTTTTCTGATGAAGGGTCTAGGCCCGAAACGTCAGCCTCTCTGCTCCTATGATGCTGCTTGGCCTGCTGTGTTCATCCAGCCCTGCACCTTGTTGTCTCGGATTCTCCAGCATCTGCAGTTCCTACTATCTCTGATTCAAATATATTGGAGGCAGTCCATAGAAGGTGCACTACATTTGATGCAGGGTGTAGAAGGATTATGTTACAAGGAGAGATTGAGTAGCTTTGGCCTATATTCATGACAGCTAACCTGATTGAAACATATAAGATTCTTAGGGGACTTGATACAAGAAATTGTTTTCCATTGCTGGTGAGTCCAAGATGAAAGGACATAATCTGAGAATAAGGGGTTACATATTTAAGACAGTCATGAGGAGGAATTTCTTCTCTCAGACGGTAGTGAATCTGTGGAATTCTTTACAGCAGAGAGCTGTCCACACTTGGTTGTTTGGTATATTCAAGGCTGAGACAGATCTTTAATCAGTAAGAGAATTATAGAGTAATCAGGAAAACTTGGGTAAATGGAGCTGAGGATTAGCAGATCAGTCATGATCCCATTGAATGGTGGAGGAGACTCAATAGGATGATTGGCCTACTTCTAATCCAAAGATCAATGGTTATGGAAAGAACAAGGAGCAATCTAGACTGAAGAGAAACAATTTCAGTGATCCAAGTAAATCGGAATTAGAATTTGACATGTAAAAATGTTAATGAATAATGGGCACCCCAAAAGAGGGAATACTTCAGGTCTAGTCAAGGTATATCATCATGGGAAGAAAAAGTACAGCAATCAGATCATGCCAGATGTTGAAACAGTATTGAAACAGTAATATGAAGCAGAATAAAGGGACACATAACAGATGCCAGGTTGCTAATACAAATGAGAACCAGGCTTAATACAGACAGTTCAGAATGGCCAGTTCTACCTGCAATTGCATCAGTTTTGACCCAGGAAAAGAATATGGAGGATAGTGAGATTTGTGTGGAGCATGCTAATATGCTATGGCATTTTGAGATGAAGAAAGAAGTGATGTTGGGTCTCTTGAAGAGCATTAAGTTGGATAAATCTCCAGGGCCTGATTTTATCTATGCCAGGTTATTGAGACAGGTTATTAACTTGAATGAATTTTTCGAGGAGGTGACAAAGGTAGATCATTGGATGTTGTCTACATGGATTTCAGTCAGGCTTTCGACAAGGTCCCGCATGTTAGGCTCATTCACAAGATTAAGATGCTTGGGTTCCACAGTGACTTGGCTGTGTGAATTCAGAATCGCTTGCCCATAATGGCAGAGGATAGTGGTGGAAGATTGTTTTCCAGGCTGAAGGTCTGTGACTACTGGTGTTCTACAGGGATCCATACTGGCACCTCTTCTATTTGTGATATATAT